TGGAGTGGTTCTCTTCATATTGAAATATGTTATTAAACTCACTTCAACTAATGCTCACCGAGGTGTTTGCAGGTTATTGTTAAAATTTCCATAACACTACATTTTTAGGGAGGTGCAAATCAGGTCGCACTGTAGGATTTTAGAGGGGTTTGTGGTTCCAATATAGTTACGGTGTAGATTTCCCCACAGGAGTATAAATACCGAATAAGTGAGTCCAAAAGGGAGCATCCTAAATTCCTATGTTTAAATGTCCAAGTCCACAGCACTAAATTCAGTTTACAGCCTGGTTGAAAAAACAAAACAAAACATAAATAAATGAAATAAAATATATAATAATAATAATAATAATAATAATAATAATAGTTCAGTGTATCTGGGCAGCCCAACTACAGTCCATGTGTGGGAAACAATGCTGTACTGGTCTGTACCTTTTTGCCTGTAGGAACACTCCCCGTGAAAGAGACTTTAGCGACTTTTGGATGATGGCAGAGCAAGCTGCCGGTCTCTGCTCCACCTTGGACCACACAGAAAAGCCCATCAGGTACCCCAGCCTCTTTGTAGATCTCAGCCAGGATGACAGCAGTCACCGGAGTCATTGGAGAGGGTTTAAATACCATGGCATTACCTGAAAACCCAACCCAAATTTAAATCCTGCAAAGCTATCTTTGTGAATGGTCACGAGACAAGACAAACAGACAGGAACAAGCTGTACAACAGGTGGATTGATAGGACTAGTGTTCATCAGTGATGTGACAGAGGCTCTGTGGCTCTGCTACATTATCTTTAGCAGGCTCTTCCCATTTTAAACTGCCAATCTTTTGCCTCTCTCATTTTTGTTTTTCTCCACTCTTTTCTTGCCTCTCACACTCGCAGCAAGTTGAAGCTGATGGCTCTTCTTGTTAATGGACCCTCACCAATTACTGCTCACTGAGGATGTCCTACTGTTTTTTTTTGTTTTGTTTTTCTTTAAAAAAAAAAAAAAGATATAAACCTGTTCTCTGTTAAGACAAAGAGGGACATTTGCCGTTTTGTCTCTGCCCCCTCCCCCCCACATCTATGAAAAAGTATGTCTTCTCTAGTCTGTCTTGTTTCAGTCCCCTGCTCTCCTATATGTCGCAATCCTCTGTTGTGTAGATTACTGACAGCAGATGATACACATGCTGTTATAAAACTCACCACATGCCAGAGCAGGAGCAGACTTCCATGATGCAATCTGGAAAGGGTAGTTCCATGCACCGATTCCCACACACACACCAAGTGGCTCCCGTCTAGTGTAAGCAAATGCTCCTCCAGGGAGCTGGATGTGCTGGCCTGCACCAAAATGACAGCACAATGTTAAAAACAATACCAAACGGAGGTTTTTGCACCTTTTGACAAACACAGAAGCATTGGTGCACCCACCCGCAAGTGTCCCAGCCAGGCCAGCATAGTACTCAATGCTCTGCCAGGCAATGTCAATATCCACCAGAGCCTCAATGATGGATTTCCCATTGTTGATCACTTCCAGCTTTGCAATTTTTTCCCTCCTTTCCTATTTTTTTAACATGCATAAAGGGGGGAAAAAAGCATGGAACTATTTTAATTGACACTCATCGGTAATTTTGTGGAACAAGATGTCTTGTTTTAAGATTATGCAATGACCGAGAGACAATAGAGACACACAAAAGGTTAAATTGGTTCAAATGTAGGCCAGCAGAGAAGGGAGGGGTGCATTTTAATGAATAACTAATGTCTTATTGCAGGCTTCCAACAGTCAAGTCCAATTTATATTGCACAAACACTGAACTAGACAGTTTCCTGGACTGCTGGTGGTTATTACACAACAGCTTGGCCGTCTCACCCTGATAATGCGAGCAGCCTCCAACATCACCCGAGCCCTCTCCATGCCTGCCATCTTGCTCCACTTCTGGTAGGCGGCATAGGCACTCTGTATGGCTTCGTCCACCTCCTCAGCCCCACAGGGCACCATCTGACACAGGACCCGGCCTGCAGAGACCAGAAGAACACCAGGTTACAGAGCTCTACATCATGCATTTTTCTTTTTTTCTATTTTTTTTTGTTTGTTTTTTTTTGTATCAAATCTCTTTTCAATTTCTAACAATTGACATTTTTAACCTGAATCAGTAAAAACACCCTCACTAACAGTAGTGATCTTCTTTGTGCAACATTAAAATGTAAAACAGACCCTTGCATTGTTTAATCTTCAGAAATGTTTATGCCTGCCTGTCATTACTGTGCATATCCCTAACCTTTATAACCTGAAAGCATGAAATCCAGTTAACTTTATACTAATATCAAGTAAAGGGAAAAAAAACAGCCTAGCCTGTCTACTAGTCTGCACATAGTTAAGGCAAAATGTCTATGTTACAATACTTAACAGAAGTCTGAGCAGAATCTGAGCGTTTCAAATATATTTCAGAAGAACTGCAGGCCTTTAAACCACCGTCACTTGTTTTCCCCAGAATACGTGTCCTTAGCAGGAGCACTAAGGCTAAAGCAGATTTTAAAGAGCAGTATATTCACCAGTTGCAGGCTCAAACACGGGCTCAGCGTTTTTCTCCTCCCTGGGTTTCACTCGTTTTCCACCCCAGAAGTTCAGAGGCTCCGTGACAACCACGGTCCCCGTCGAGGCTCCGGGCATCGAGTCGAGGGTTGACTGGGCCATTTCCAGATACAAAGCGCCTGCAGGGAATTATGTAGCAAAGTTATAAAACAGATGCGCAACTTAGGACAAGTGATCGAAACTGGTCGCTCCCTTTGCTAACGTGAAGCTAGCACGGACATTAAGTTAGCTAAACTTGCACAAGACAAGCAGCGCGCGCAGATTTTAAATATGATAGCAGACAAGTAAAAGTAGCTGAAGTTTTACCGCTTATGCTCCCGCAGAAGGACTGGAAATGAAGGCAGACGCTAATCACCTTCACGCAGCCAGAAGCCAGAAGACCACGCCTCCTTCATGTCCTCCATGCTCCCACCCCGTTCGGCTTCTTCTGATACACACTCCGAGTAGAGGTCAAAAAAACAACCGTAAAAATTTATGCAGGTCTGGTTTTAAAACAAGATTATTGTTATTAGTTAATACTGGCAGTGTAACGGGTGCAAAGATTAAAATATCCAGCAGCAGAATTAAAGACATTATAAATGAGAGATTTGTGTTAATCAGAGCAGGATTAAAAAGCTCTATATAAAAGTACTGTTCAGACTATTTTTAAGTGTTTAAAATACTTTGAGAATTTCATTAATGTATTTATCTACTTGTTAGCAAATTTATGAAAGGAGCAAGAACTGATGTTTGATGTTTTTGCTCTTTTCCTTTAATTTCTGCCCAGATTGTGGCATCTTGCTTGTTTCATACAACCATGAAATGTATCCGCAGCATGTGTGGAGTTTACCCGTGCAAAACTGAATGCACTGATAATTTAATAAGGTGGAGACCTGCTCTGTAATGTAATATCCCAGAGTTCACTTTTCGGGACCTCAGATTGTATGCAAAACATGACCGTGGCTTCTGATTGGTGCTTTAAACCTGCACGTTTTCTTAAAGTCAGCAGGAAGTGACTCCTGAAGATGCATAAAGAAGCCAGTTACTGCATATAGAAGTCGATGGGGAGGGAAAACCATCATCCTACTCAATGTACAACTTCAGTAAACACTTTTCTTCATGATCTAATGGGCTTCAAATTACTTGACAATAACTAGTAAGATTTTAAATGGGAAGGATAGTTTTTGTGCTACATCCCACAATTTTTTGTTTCAACTTTTAATCACTGACAATTAAAAAAAAAAGAAGATCTGATTGATTTAGTTCAGCAGCATCTGCATACTCTTGTTTGTTTTCCCTTAAAAATATCTTGTTCACTCAAATGAGTTTCACTCCATAGCTTCCCTTTAAATTAGATGGTAGTACAAAGGGACAAAAAAAAAACAACAACAACAAAAAAAAAGACATGCCTGAAATCTAATCATAAAACTTTATTAATATGCATGACACAACAGTACACAATGACATACAATAATACTGAAACTGGATCAGATGTTACTGTGTCAATCGTTAATTTAAAATCTCCAAACACTCCATGAATTTTGCTAAATGCACAGCTGACATTTGTAACCTTTAATAATCAACAGAATGAACTATAATTTTCCTATAATTTCTAACCAAAACAGTTATAATGTTTAATGTTAAATAAACAACAAAATGAATAAGAAATCAAACAAAGTAGTGGTACTGTAGCTGCAACGGGTAAGACTTTTAACCTCAGCAGGAGCAGTTCTGTCTGTGCGCTGGTGGGGGCGCTATGAATGCAGGCAGTAGTGCAGGGACATCTGGGATGCTGATTACGAAAACTTAGCTGCTTGTGGAGGAGGTCCTAAAAAGCCTCCAGCCTGTTTGGTTGCAGCTCTGGAGGGTGCAAGACCGAGCATCTTCTGAATGTTCTACAGGAAAAAACAAAACAAAAAAACAGCAGAAACTCTAAAACAAAGCCAAACCAGCACAGAATATACATTTGATAACACTTAGTATGCACGATATTAACCCTGATATATTGCTGTATATTATTCTACACATACAGTTTCCTGCTAACACCAGTTGGATGTGTATTCAACAAACAATACAGAATTTGTCCTAAGGGTGGCAGTAGAGAACACAGCATGTTACTTAAATTAACTAAACTGCCTTGGTCTCCCTGTGGAAACCAGATAATATCCTCTGGAGGTGTTTATGCTGAATCTGAGTAACAGTATTTAGTCCTTGTACAGCTGCATCGAAAGCTCTGTCCATATTGCCAGCAATAAGTCAGACTCGTTCCTGGTGAGTATGTCCACTGATATACGATAAAAGTATAGACGTTACCTGTCTGATGGACATGGTGCAGAGGATATAGAGGAAAATAAAGGAGCAGTCGGTGTAATCCTCGCCCAGCAGGTTGCGGTGTGACAGTCCCTGGATATACGACAGTGGCACAAATGGCAATTTGGCCACAACTCTTCCATCGAAACTGAACGTAACATAAAAAGCCAAAAAGGGAACTTGTTTAAAACAATGGACTGGACAAGTTACAAGTTACTTTCTTACATTTTCCTGATGTTTTTTTGGTTTTTTTATGAAAAGAGAAAGCTTTTTAACAAAATGTGAAACAGTATTTTACCCTGCAGTAACTTACATGGAGTTGAACATGCCCATGAGAGCTGTGAAGCAGAAACCAATGGCGAACATGGATTTCATCCGTACCTACAAAACAAACACTCAGGATTTAAAACACATACATTTAACCATAAACACTTAAATTAAAATATATAAGGTTTGACTGGAATGATCAGCGGGCAAAGTTTTGACCCGCCTATCAACTGATTTAAGAACAAAAAATATGCTACAGTTGTTGAAATGAAAACGAAATGGTCATTCTGAAGGGTTTGTGTGGGAACTTTTTTCAGATTCAGTTGACTTTAAATGGAATGACCTCGCTAAACTACGATAACTAGACAACCGCAGTATCAGACATTAAGCCTGGGCTGCATATTAACTGGAAACAAAACATCTCTCACCATAGACAGGTCTCTGTTGTTGTTCTTCAGCTTCTCCTCTTGCCTTTCTGCAACACAATCATTCACAAAACACTGTTATCCAGAGGAGAAGGGCTGATCATAAAAGCAGAACACCGGTTTGTTTACAGGGTTCTTACCAATCTTCTTCTTTTGTTGGCGTCCAGCAGATTCAGTTATGGTTTCCTTTTTCTTCTCAACTAGTATCAGAGAGGACAAAATTAATCTTTTAACAATCTGAAAAAAATAGCAAGTTAACAAGACAACACTTGAGTCACTTACGTTTTTTGCTTTGCTTTTCCACTTCAGCCTTTAGCCTCTTGTACTTTTCAGTCCGATACACTAAAACCCAGGTAATCCCTGAGGAGAAAATACGATTGTTTAAATAAAAATAATAATAATAAAAAAAAAACATTGAAAACTGCCACTGAAGTTTCCAACATTTCACACTGATCAATATGTGAAGTTTTTGCACATTTCTGAAACCTTTTCCTGAATTAGAAGAAATCTCTGCAGCCACAGTATCCAATAAGCTTTGGATCCTCTTCTGTCACACCAACCCTCTGCATTCCTCCTTCACTCTATCCATGGACCTCCTCTACGGTCCACACAGCTCAGTGACGATCAGTTCTCTTCTTAGACTAGCTTTACCAACTCTTTCCCATAGATTAATGGCATGTCTCATCAACTCTATCTCTCTGCAGTTATTACAGCTCTCCACATCACTCTTGTTGTTGAAAACTGGCAGCAGTAAACGTCTTCTCTATTCCTCAGGCATCCTCTCACTTTCTAAGATTGTGTTAAACAATGTAGTTAAAAAGTCCACTGCCCTCTCTCCCCTCTAAACATCTCCATACTGCCACAGGTATGTCTTCTGGACTACCCATCTTTAAATTCTTTATTCTCTTCATCACTCGCTCTAATAGGCTGACAAAATACAACAAAAAGACTTCTACTTCTACTCTGGAATGTAAATCATACACAAATGTGGTTAAATAATGTCTTACTTCCGTATTTAAACTAAACATTTAGACAAAATTAAATTGTAACAAATATTTTTTTTATTTATCTTTTTCAAATTGTTAATGTAGATAGCGAGGAAGTCAATATTCTCCCCGAGGAAAGCGTCTCAAACGTAAGTTCAGGCTTTTATTGCGAAATTAACCGGAAAACACAAACGTTAAGCTGTATTCAGTCATTAACAAAGTACAGGTCAACAAAAGCAACAAAATTGCGAATTAATGAATATTAATAACATTGAAGACGTTTCCCTACCATATAATCCGGAGTAATGTAAAATTCTGAGCTATAATAGTGTTTTCTGGAGCACGGTAAAACGCCTGCCTCGACCTGTCAGACAGATTTGGCTCACCTTCGGCTAACAACGCTGTACAAATTGAGATGAAGACGATCAAAATGGTGTCTGCGAACATGGTACTCATGGTGTCAAAGTCCCGTTTTCCAGGCCGTAGAGAGGAAAAGTATTTACTTTATATCAGAAGATAAACCCTGACCACCTTCCGCTGAACTGAGTTTCAGCTTCATACAGCCCTGTCAGCGTTACTGCAGAGGTCAGACCACGAAAAAGCACTTCCGGTTCATCCGACCGAGCCCAAAAAAAAAAGAAAAAGAAAGAAAGGAAAAAATGCATATACATACACAAAAATATGTAACAATGCAGAGAGATTTTTCTTTTAAAAATAGTCGACACTCTTGGACATTTCCATACCACGTGGTCAAAATTGTACTTAAAGGACAGTCTTGGAGTTTTTTCTATAAAGATGCCCTTCCATGTTGCCATATTTTTTCATAACTGTCCAAATTTCTTCATACTTACTGTTATGTTGTGGCCGGGTTGGGTCCACTAGGGGGCAACAGTGGTTGTTGGTGTTTTCCGGTCTGTGGGGGCTCATGTCCCGGTTCCCCGAATAAAGTACAGCCGTGAGCTAAACATGTCTCCATGATTCCTGAGTCTCAGGCTATTACACTTACCTAAAATATTAAATGTAACATTCCACCTTCCTCCATCTTGTAGCCAACTTGTTCATTTTTTGCATCTGAATCATGTTTGCTAATATCACACTACCCAAAACTGTTCATCCATCCATTTTCTTCACCCTGGTAAGATTGCCAATCAATCACAGGACAAACACAAAAAGAGAAACAATCACTCACACTCACATTCTCACCTACAGTCAGTTTCGAATCACTAAGTAATCTAGCCAACGTGCATGGTTTTAAAGCAGGAATTTCAACTCATTGTCATAACGGGTCACAAGCTCACTTTGATCTTAAGAGGGCCAGACCAGTGAAACTCCCCTTTCTGTCAGTGAAAATAAGTTTAAATAAACATTTAATATCTTAATACTAAACAAGAACTATCTTAATATGAGAAAAAGAAGAGTAATTGCA